ATGAGATACATAGCTCAAGACGGCAGAAGTGGCTGCAAAAAAACAGAATACAGATAAAAAGGTAATTAACTGAAGAGGTGTATCAGTTTGTTTGTTTGTTTGTTTTCCAGCTAATGACAGTATTTACTCCTTCATAATTTTGTTATTCTTGATAGTCATAGCTATTCTTAACTATCAAAAATATTGGTTCCATTGGTTAGAACTGTTGGTTGTATAGGCTTACAGAGAAGCTACAGTTGTACTATATTTATTATATCCATGAAGTATGCAGTTTTAGAAATACAATACAATCCAAAGATAGGTTGATGAATACATCTTTTCTAAATGATGTATTAATCAAAAGAAGAATTAATGATATGAGAATAGAAGATTAATATTTAATCAAGGGTTTATTTTATCTCCAAATGGTATATTCTAAGTCACGTCATCTTGATTTGTAAATCAAATATTCCAACAGGTCTATTGTTCTTACATTAGCAATGTATATTAGTAGTCAGAGCCATATTTAGCAGTATATATGGCTTTCAATGCAGCCATAGTTAAGGGTATAAGGTGTTTTCTTATAAGGAGAGCTGTTGGAATAGAAATGTGTTTTTACAAGTATTTTATTTTTTCTCCCATATTTGCAGCCAAAATATATCCACAACATCTTGAAGCATGCTGAGAAGCGTAAATTGGAAGGGGAACGTCGCAAAGAGAGGCAAGTTCAAAAGGAGCGTGAAATGGAAGGGGAAGAATTTGCTGATAAGGAGTCATTTGTCACAGCCTCTTACCTCAAGAAAATGGAAGAATTAAAACAAGCAGAAGAGAAAGCGAGACTTGAAGAACTACAGGAAGGTGTGTGTTTGTGTAGTTATAATGTTTATCTTTTTCTGCTATCAGAATGCAGATTTCAACTTTTCTTTTTTTTTTTAATCTCAAAGGAGGGTTATTTGAAATCATTAATTTTTTTATTTAAAGTCCATATTCGTAGATAAAAAAAAGTGTGGCTATGAAATTATATGCAGTATTACATAGAGCTCAAAAGACAGTATAGAGACAATGTATAGCTATTGTAAGTCTGAATTACAGATTGGATAAATGGTTACATAATTTTTTTCATTTTATTCTTCAGAACAAATTGATGTAATGAAGCATAAGAACTTTGGTGCATTCTACAACCACATTTTTAAGCAAAAAATGGGAGAATCTGCTATAAAAAAGGAACCAGAGGATATTGTCATCAAGAAAGAACCAAACAGTGATGGTGCAGCTGGCAATGGAGAGACCGAGATTATACGGCGACAGGATGACAACAGGCGTCAGAAACACTATCGGACCCAGCGGGATTTGAGTGAGTCTCCTGAGCGAGAGGTGCGAGGACAAAACAAAGTGGCAAGGCGCAGTGCTCCCTCTTCAGATTCAGAGGAAGAGGAGAAGGTTGAGTCATACAGAGAGAGGAGAGAGAGGCTAAGAGCAGCAGAAGACAGAAAGGACAAAGGTGATGACAGGTCTAGGGGAAGGAGCAACTCCAGAGAAAGGAGACGAGAGAGAAGTATCTCGCATGAGAGGAGGAGAGAGCGAAGCCGGTCCAGGGAACGGAGAAGAGAAAGGAGTCACTCACGAGAGAGGAGGAGGGAAGGCAGCCATTCAAGAGAGAGAAGAAGGGATGTGGAGAAAACTTGGGAAAGAGGAAGAGGATATGACAGGACAAGAGAGCGGAAATTTGGAAGGGATAGGTCTCAGGAGAGAGAAAGATCCAACAGGGGCAGACACAGATCAAGATCAAGGGATCGCCATGCTAGACACAGCAGGTCAAGAAGTCCACAACGAAGGAAGACTGGTGACCGACGATCTCGTTCACCACAGAGGCGATCAAGGAGTCGGGAAAGGGTGAAGATTAAGGAAGAACCAAAATCTCCAGACAGGAGAGAGAGTACAAAGGAAAACAACAAAGATGAGAAACGCAGTACAGACAAGTCTAAAGATGGAAAGGTGGATAATAAGTCACAGAAAGAAGGAGGTACCAAGGTGAAGAAAGAGAATGAAGTGGAAGAGAAAGAGAAGAGAATGGACAGGATTCGCAAACTCTTTGAGAAACGAACTGTAGGAGAGAAGTTTGACTTTGCACTGCAAAGATATTATGAGAGGAAAGCTGCAAGAGAAGCACAGGGTTAAAATGCAAACCCATGTTAGTACAAGTTTGTCCATTTGAAAATTCATATGCCTCTGCTTTTGATGGCAGTGTCCATTTTGGTTGTTTTTGAACATTTTTTGAAAAGTGTAAACTGTTTAAAGAGCTTAGTAGGAAAAGAACTTTTGAACTTATCAAATGTTACATGTGGAAATTTTGATATGCTTGTTAATATACATGATAACTTGTATATTTATTTGTATGCAGCATTTCCTATTAAGAATCTTGATACTAGTTACAAATGTTTATTAATAACCTTTTTATACATTATTTTTAAGAGAAAAAAAAAATCTCTTTCTCGTCTACTTGTCCCCCTTCTTTCTTTCCTTCACTTCCCCTTCTTCCTCTATTTCATCTTTCTTCTCTCAGTTTGTCTTTCCTCTCACTCTCTCCCTTTCTCTCTTCCCTGCCCTTCCTCATCACATTCTACCATTACACTTGCTCTTCCTCCTCTCTCTTTCTGTTCTTGCTCTCCTTCCCTCTCCTGCTCATCACCTTCCCTCTCGCTCTTCTTCTCTCCCTCATCCTATCTATCCCATCTCTCGTTCTCTTTCCCTCTCTCAGTCTTTATTTTCACACACTTTCTCTCTGTTTCTTCTCATCCTTCTCAATGTTAATATTTTAGAGTCATGCTACACCTTTTCAGAAACTGGACTCAGGATGTCAAAAAGTATAATGTCATTCTGTTTTTTCTTCTGTCATCTTCACAAAAATCCCCCACCCCCCATTATACAAGAAGAAATGATCAAAATAAAGAAGCTGAAAATTTGCAATGGTTTGTCTGTGTACCTCACAGAGTTGGAACTAGTAGTTCCTCTCAGTTATAATATATCATACTGATTTATATCTGAAAAAAAAGTTTTTATTGTAGGGAACTACATTCAAAGGATTTGTTGTTCTACTTTTATTTGCTTTTTATTCATCTAGTCTAATATGACAGCATAATTGCAATTATCTAAATAGGTGACAAAAGATTTTCTTTCTTTAACCAACGAAATTACAGAAAAAATTAGTGGTGAAAAATTTAAAACTGGAAGACAACTATAGTTGGTTTTGGAAGAGTATACCAGTGAAATGTATATATTATATATATATATATTATATATATATATATATATATATATATTATAATATATACATATACATATACATATACATATACATACATACATGTACATGTAACATGTACATGTACTATATATATATATATATATATATATATATATATAATATATATATATATATATATATATATATATATAATATATATGGGAAAAGCCATCCGATGAGAAGAAACGGGGGAAACTAGCAGCAACTATCGCTGTAATATACAACTCTGTAATATACATGGAAAATAAAGATAGAGGAAAATAGACAGGAATAAAAGACAAACAAGAGAGAAACGATTACCTAGAAAATTATCGGGCGACAAGCATCCCTCCAAGATTGACATCGATAAATTTTCGTTATAAATGATCTCTCAATAGAAGCAATGTACTAGAGTGTCCTGTTTTAAACATACGGTACCATCCACAGTGATCGTAGTTACACAAACCACCAAAACATTCATGAATGTATTCTAATATTTTCAGACACACGAAGCAATCTCTAATATCCCGTTAAAAAAAACGCGATGAACGCTTACTTATCATAGTTACTGCTAAAGATATTTCGTTTTCTAAATTTTCTTTTGAATCTCGTTTTCTTCATAAACAGAAAAGAAACAGCATTGCCAATTTGGATCTAGCATCAATGATAAGTATAAACGTAAACCTAAATATAAAGGCAATGAATCACTATACTAATCGACACATTAAAAAAACAGTAAACAATTACAGTTTTCTAAATTGTAATTCTAATCTATCTTCGCCTTTTCACTCCTTCGTTTTTTTTTATTAATATATCTCTTGTCTGTGGAAATACATGATCATTTCCCGTTTTTTTATTTCTTGTACAGTGTATTATATTATTAAAAATGAACAGACTCCCTGCACGCTGCTAAGCATTATTGCAATGTTTTCTGCTAGATAGCGCAAAACTTGTTTATACATTAAAAAATAAATTTATATATTTGTATAAACTTATGTAACACGCAGAAAACATCTGGATATATTTTTAAAAAATGTATATTCAGCACACATGCATGCATGTCTGTATAATGAATGAGAGTGAGGTAGTTACTGATAAAAGACTCATTTCCAAGTTTAAGAATTTTACTAAGCACAGATGGATAAAGAGATAGATAAATGGGTTGGTAGATATATGTATTGGTGTCATAAACATTCAGAACAGGTAGATAGAAAAGATAGACATTAATGAATAACAAGATTTACTGATATAACTAAATAAAGCCGTATCTAGCGAAAATTCCAGTTAAAAGTAGCAGTAAGTTATAATTACCTAAACGTTGACATCGTTTACCCTACGAAATAAATCAGAATGAATACTTGCAAGAGATCATAATCATAATACAAAATATAAAAAAAATCACTCTTTGTAGGAGTAAAATATTTCTCTCAATACAAACTAGCAACTCAGCGCTAACCTAGCGGCGCCACTGTCATCTCACCGCAACCAAATCAGCTGTTTCAGTGTACCATCAGATGTTGTGAGTGGTGGTGTACTAGACGGTCGCTCCGGCAGTGTTGTGTTTATCTTCCAGTTGTAACATTATTGGAAATTTTGGATATACACGGATCACACACGTTATACATTTTACTGAAAGTACTATCGAGGAAGCTAATTTAGGACTTCATAAACCTTTCCAACTGAAATTGGCCGAGGTTCTTTGTTGGGCTGGACTAACAACAATTCTCAGGTGAGTGTTCCTGGACGTCTGTATTCATAGGCTGGCAAAAGGCAGTTTAATCGTTTGAAAACAACACAGTCTAGCGTGTCTTGTAATTTGCTTGTTTCGAGGCAGAGAATGTAAGAGATATAATGTTTTTCATCTCTACATTCGCTCGTGCATTTGACGACTGGTTAACACCGAGTGATCTGCACTATTATGTTCTAGATACTTTCCACGGGTCATGTTTCCCTTTCACAGTTCAACCAAATAAATGTTTTGTGGTAATTATATACTAATGTGAAAATAATAAGTCGAACTACTCGTTTACATTACGCAGCAGCAAGCGTTGCTTTACAGAAATAGATATATGAAGATAATTTGGTTTAAAATGGATCAGCACAAACAAATAAATCAGACCTTAAGTACCCAACCTCCTTTGAGACAGGTCAAGCGAGGTCACTCCAGGTCACAGCTGTCCTTTGAGCTCAAGCACTTCTGACTACCCGTTATGCGCTCAAGGACAGACAGGGGTCAAATGACCTGTATTTAAGTACTTTTATTGTTTTATTATCGTTGCGAGTTGCTTTTGATTAACAAATATAGTGTGTGTGATTTTATAAATATTGATTTTGTCATTAAGTTCTTACCTCGAATGTATCTGTTTTAATTATTTGTGATAGACAGTGATTTAACACTATATAAATATGTTTATGATATGTTTGATAAAACTTGCAGGCTTGTGTTAAGTGTCCATTCTTTTCTCTGTGGAACTTAATCCAAGAAAAATATCCAAGAAGAAAATAATAGGTATTCAGGCAGTAAAAAAGATATCAGAATATGCAATATTGGCGGTTTGGCAAACAGGTAAACATGTCAAGAGATGGCCTTGAATAACAGTGAAAAATGTCTAAGGTCGTTCCGATATGTCGACATATCGATTTGTAAGTTTATGTAACATTTTATTATTTTACTGTACATCATTTTGGATGCTATATGAAATAGACACATAATACAAACTGGAATGAATGGAGAAATGCCTTTGGTCATCTCATTTATATCATTGCGTGGAAATAGATCGAAGAACCTTTTTTATCTATTGCTGTTGCTGCAGTGTGTGCAGTGGAGTTGAAATCTCGTTGATGTCTTTTTCTTGGACTCCTCAGTGGTATGAATACTGATAACGCATGTACGCTTCTATGGCCAAAATCACCGTACAAAATCAAAACGGAACCACACCGATGCATTTTGACTCGTATTGTTGCGTCCAGTTGCACAATTTCCGTTGTTTTCTACACGCACATACGCTCCGATAAACCTCGCGTGGGTTTTCGTCACCCATCCACCGGGAATGAAGAATCGCTTCTGTCTGTCTGTCTGTCTCTGTCTCTCTCTCTCTCTCTCTCTCTCTCTCTCTCTCTCTCTCTCTCTCTCTCTCTCTCTCTCTCTCTCTCTCTCTCTCTCTCTCTCTCTCTCTCTCTCTCGAGAATTAGTTGTCATTAAAATTTGGATGGAAGGAAGTGACCATCCATTGCTGTCCGCGGTTAAAAAGGTCAGGTGTTTTCTATTATGGCTGGCTTTTCCTTCGGCGTTTTGTCGGGTCGGGTCGAAAGGCGCCATTTTCCTCTGCTCTGAGAGGGTATGATTTTGTAAGGCATCGCCGTAATGTTGAGAGCAATGGTTTAAGATTTTACTACTACTACGACCATGGTGTATCATTGTCCTTGTTCACAACTCTGACCCTTTTTATAAGCAAAGATTCTTTTATTAGTATTTTGGGCAATACTAATTAAGGCAGCCGTACTACATATACCGAAGAAAGTGTAATGGAATTATTGACTAGTGTTCGTACATGTCGGCGAAGTAAATAAAATTATTGACCTCACTGGTTGTGCTTTGGTTTTCATTTTACGCATTCTAGACGTATAAAGCTACCCGACTTGTCACCAGGCCGTGACTTTAGGCTGCGACTGCAGGCTGCTTGCACCAAGCACAGAGCTGAATAGGGAGCCCACGCGCAACAAGACAAAAGCAATGCGGTTCTTGTGCGAACGTCAACTCTAAATGAAACGCGGGCAACGCGGGGGGGTAAGGAGGGGAGCAGCGGCAGGGGGAAGGACAAAGCCTTTTAGTTGCAGCTTAATTCAGGTGCAGTTTTATGAGGCGGATTTGTTGCCGAGTGGCGTTATCCTGTCGTTTCCTGTTTGTTTCTTCCGTTTGCTTTTGTCTCTCTGTCACTTCTCTCTCGTCACATCATTTCTGACTCTCTCTCTCCTCTTCTCTCTCTCTCTCTCTCTCTCTCTCTCTCTCTCTCTCTCTCTCTCTCTCTCTCTCTCTCTCTCTCTCTCTCTCTCTCTCTCTCTCTCTCTCCTCTCTCTCTCTCTCTCTCTCTCTCTCTCTCTCTCTCTCTCTCTCTCTCTCTCTCTCTCTCTCTCTCTCTCCTCTCTCTC